AAAAAGTAGGTGTTGTAACTGGAATAAATTACAAAGTCAAACTTTAGTTGAGTCCAAGTACACAAATAGTCACTGCTATATAATGATATTTTCAAATTTGAATGCATTTTAAGAATCAGATATGTACCACATATTGCAACTTGTTAGTGCAGCAAGTATTTTCATTGTAGCTCATGATTCAGGCGTCTCTCCCACACAAAGAATGACTTCAAAGCCTTGGAAAGGTTCATATGTAACTTTATCTCCTACAAAGTATAGAAAATACGATAGATTAAACACATAGCTTTTGGTTTCATTCTATAATTTAACACAGTATGAATGAATAAAAACTATTAAAACATTTAAAGATGCATCGTTGAGTTCAAACTTGTATTTCGATGTGAAGACAGTAAAGACAAACAATTAAAGATGCACGTATTAGATCTTGCAACAATAAGTACATATTAACAGTAGGTAGTATCTTCTATTGGTGATTCCGCGGCTGCATATGCACCAGACTCATCATACCACACTTAAATCCTGTACGGAGTTATTAATAAACTAAGATTCAAAAGTATACTCCACAAATAAGAACTTAGACCGGTTTCTTCCATGTATAAAAGCACAGATGGAATGAACATATTATCCCAAGATGAGTAATTGAACAATCTGTGTTTGTTAAGGTTACATAAAAGATAAAAACTCTTTAGTATTGAATAGATGATGATTTTCTCTTTTGCTAAGAATTGACAAAACACTGATTCTGCCATCCTCTGGTCCTCGAGGTATTATATTTTTAATTTTTTTCCCGCTGCCAAAAATTTGTTCCCAACTTTTACCAATCATATGCTACAGGGGAAGAGAAAGCAAGTGGAATCAATTAATCAAAATTCCCAATTAAAATGAAACAAACCAAATAAATTATTAGTGGAACCTTAAATTATAAATTATTTTGCTAACACACTGACTCGTATGATTTGATTTCTTTGGAAAGAAAGTAATCTAAATCCCAGATTTAGTTTGATTATACATATACATAAATACAAAAAAGAATCAATAATTCGAGACATACCTAATTTGGAGATCCCTGTTTTGGACTGCACCGATAGATCCGCGACGCGATGAAGAAGGAAGTTTCTATTTTAATCTCCGCGAATCCTTGAATAGTTGTATGAAATCTGGAAGTGTTGGACATGAGTTCAAACCCCTTTACTACTTCTTCTAGAATATTTTTTTGTTTTGATGAATGACAAACAGGATGATTAATTTCAAGATGGTCGAAAATTTATTTTTGTATCGAGAAAAGCAAAGAAGGGTATCAAGAAGTTTACGGCGATAAAAATCGACGATCACCCCTACGCAGATTTTTTTTTTGAAGTGAAGTGAAGACTCCGAAGACTTTTTTATTTTTTAATTAAGTGTAGGAATCTTTGTAAGGATGACAATATTTTCTGCACAAACAAATTATTTTTGAGGGATAAAAATTATTATTTTCTGAGTCAGTTGAAAAATTACTTTTCCTCTGTCTAAAAATATTTTACTGAGTCAGTTTCAAATAAGTATGTCAAAATTTCTTAAAAATATTTTTTAAGAATACACAAACTTTTTTTGTAAGAAAAATATACTTTAAATATTTTTTCTTGTACATCGTTTGACACACAAAATAATTTTTGGATTCTTTTTCTCTCCCCCACTCAAATTCATTGAATGAGATATGAGGAGAGTTTGATATTCCCGTTGTCCAAAACAACGAGTTAGAAGCCAAAGGCTTCCAATCGCACTTGGCTTGGGCTCTTTATGTTTGCGCATTATTTCCACTTTAATCGATTAATTTTTCTAAATTAATCGATTAGATCCAGTTCCGGATTTCTCAAGCCTTCATTATTAATTGATTTTTCTTATTCTTTTAATCGATTAGTTCTCAGAGCGCACTCTAATCGATTTTTCCATCAAACTTAATCGATTAAGATTGCATTTCTCGCTGAAGACTTTTTTCCAATTAATCGATTAATCTTCTTCATTTAATCGATTAGTTGAGCCAGCGCCATCTAATCGATTATTTTGTCAAATTTAATCGATTAATTTTGCCCCTGCGCAGAAGACCCTTTCGCTTCTATACACCTTAATCGATTAAAAGCTTTACTTTAATCGATTAATATTGTCTGGTGTCTATTCTCAATTTGCTCCAACGAATCTTTTATCCTCAGCCTATTTAATCCCTTTTTCTCCTTCATTTCTACACACAACTCTTGCACTCCAATATCTTCATTGAGCTATATTCATTTCTTACTTCCATCTTCCTCATCAAATATATTATTTTGAGAGTTAGAAATATTTTATTGAGTGCTAAATATTTTGTCATCCATAGAGCTTTAATTCTTCAACACTACTTTGCTCAATTGTGTGAGC